TCACAAACGACAGTCATCACTGACCTAGAACGAGTTAAGCGCGATACTGTTCCATCAATAACACATCGCCCATGTCCATAGACCAACCGAGCTGTCACGTGCGGTCTGGAAAGGGTGAGCTGACATCACTTGTACCACCTACTCTGATAAAAGTGAGAATTAAACCTCAATAGAAAAACTGTAAATGATTGCAGGCCACATCACGAGAGCAACGAAAAACAACTTATTGACGTACTACTCAATTGTCATGATCTACGTGATATGAAATCAATTAGACAGACCCACGACACAGGGAAATCAGCACTACAAGTGTGCTATGAAAGTGGAATGAACGACTCACGACCTTCTCCTTGTGCGACGCGTACACGTTACCCATGATGAGCAAACGAAACACAAAACTGGCGGACTACGACACCGGAAGAAACAACTAATCTAGCTCACTGAACTCTAAATAACAATGAACCACCAATCAGGATTGAGAGCACCTTGTAAGGACGAGTAAACTGAACCAATGAGAGCACGGTCAGCACACTCCTCTTCCCTAACCAATGGATTCGTCTCAAGCGAGAGAAATCGATCGTGCTGCACAAACCGTACAACCGCTAAACCGACGAATCGTCTAGCTCGGAGTAGAACAACTTTTGCTATCAGTCACGGACTTCAGTGTCACATCTTTCCGTTGGCCTAGAATTGTTGACGCGTATTCATGAGTTTTGCCCCGAACGATCGCAACTTTCATGGTTTTGACATCACAAAAGATCTGGTTCGCTTCCCAGTCACAATTATATCTGGCCAACTTGATTAATTTTATTAAGTGCTCATTAGATGATTCAAGTTTGTCTATACTTCGTTGGATTCCACGTATTTCACTCATTTTGAAAACAATAGCTAGTCACTGGACATCACATTTCTCTACCATCCAATTGTATTTGCACAATTTTATTCTATTAACAACGCACGGTGACATTTGTTTTATACGACTACTAACCACTGCACTTTCGTATTCGATCGATTTGCGCGATTTCGTGCTCGTTTATACTCGTTGCCTTCGTGCCTGAATGCAGATCTTGTATAGCGCGCAAACATCACATTTCCTGTGTCACGGTACTTCAACACACATCTGTCACAATCACAAGTTGAAAGAGGCTTATTTGCGAGTTACAGGACCAGTTTAGAAGCTCATCACGACAGATGCACATCGTTTGGTGAGCCCACCGGAAGCTCAGTTTTTCTTCCTTGGTAAATCTATGGCGTTTGTGTAGTTGTTCAACTATATGAATTTTTATTAAATATATTAGCGCAACACGGACATCTGATAGCAGGACAGGTTTCACTAGCCCAGCCTGAACACTGAATACGGTGGCTTCCTACTCCATCCATTTCGTCCCTCATGACACAGATGTGTGGCTCGCAACCTTAGATCTGCAATCTACTCATAGGAACGTCCGAAACCAACGCGCCACATTGTATTGTATGGTATTGTATTTTATTATTTTTCTATGTCTTATGCAGGTAACTATGCCTACAGTCCAGTCAAA